GAAAATATTTAAGAGACCACAACACATCCAGAGCCCGTGGTCTTAAAGGAATGTTGATAATTTTGAAACAAGCCTTATAAAGAATATTCAGTATATCATTAAGACCTACATGAAAGTCTGTGCTTAATTGCACTTATGATAGTTTGGAAATCTTTTTAAGTAGGACCACCCTGGAAAAAACATAGCTCCTTCTTATTGAAGGCTGTTAGATAAATGCATCAGTTTTACCCCTGCAGTAATTTAAACCTCTGCATGGATAGAATTGTCATTTAAAGATTTTTTTGCAGTCAGTCTCTTAATGAGTCTTAGCAGCTCCAAATATCCCAGTTGTGGGTTTGTTTATGTGTAGATGTCAGTAGCTCAGCTGGATAGAGTGCAGAGGAGAGTCAGGAAAACAGAAACCTAGAAAACACAAGCTACAGAACTGGATTTGATGACCCTCAAGAAAAAAAAGCTAGTACTTCCAAAGCATTTCATAGGCAGGAGTCCTGACTGGTGGATCACAGAGGGAAGAAATTTGAATTGCAGCAGAAAAGGTTCCTGACAAAGTCCAAGAACACATTAATCCAATTCATTCAGAAACACATTCTTCTTCCTCATTCTTTCACTATTCAACCACTACAAAATTATTATGTCATTATTTTAGCTTTTGTATTTTACAGAAATTATTTTTATTGTGGCAGAGATGCGACTTCAGAGAGATAGTAACAAACTCAAACCTTTGTGTCCAGTAAGAAGACTGAGAAATCAAATTTTCCTAGAGAGCAAGAAGAAATTTCAAACCAAATTTAGAGGAGTGAGCTGCAATGGGAGGCCTTTACAAAGGTAGTTTGGAGGTTCCCATAATTTTTCTTAATTCAAGAAAAGATTAAACAAGACTGAAAAAGTAAAATACTCTCTAAAGTATTTTCAAGTATTTTAAGGATACTGAGTGTGTTTCCTGCCTAGACATTTCTCTGTGGGAGCCCAAGCCACTGTTTGTAGTTTACATTTTTTCCCATACCTCTGCTTTCTTTTACCACCCCTATCAAGTGTTTACCTGGAGCAATACATGGACAAAACACACGTGTCTGTGTGACCACATGCAATCCTGGACTGAAAGTTGCACGTGAGTGCAGAAGCAACTGCCTGAGACACTTCCATCCCATCCACACTGAGTGTGGAACCTCCAAAAGGAAGAAGAGGTGTCATAAGCACTTACATTGGTTGTAAATTCAACTGTGAGCTACTGGCAAGCAGCTGGTTTCAAGGAAGAAAGACCCTTCTCTGGCACCAGTCCCAAGCCATTGCTTAATGTGGTGTACCCAGACTTTGCCCAATGCTGCAAATTCCAGCAGCCATTCAAATATAAAATTAATCTGTTTGTTAAAATGTCAAAGGAATTTGGAGTAGGAAAAAGCAGACACCTATAAGTCTTTTTTCCCCTTGATCTCCAGAGCTCCTTGCTATTTTTTTCAAAGCAGTATTTCCAGAAACTGATTAAAAACAAGCTGCAGGTTTATGGAGACTCATTTGTATAAAGATGCAACTAGGGGAAAATCAGAATTAAGCAAGTTCATTTTTTCCTGCTGGATAAAGAGTCTGGAGGGCAGCACTCAGCCATCCTGTGCAATCCCAAAGGCACAAAACTTCAAACCTGTGTATGATGGTCACCTTGTGAATTAAGAACTGTCTTGAGGCTTCATGTATAAACCTAAACTCTGCTGTTATAAGAAATGGTATTTCCCTTTGGTATAAATAAAACTTACATCTGGATTTTTGAATTCTTTGTTCACACTCCTGTGTTATGATTGTTCCCAAGCAGTTTTCTCTTTCCCCAGGAGGTGCAAGAAAGTAGCTTAGCTAAGCCAAACAACAGTGTTTGTTGTATAAGAAGACGGGCTGGCTGTCTCTCTGGCCAAATACCTTATCTTTGGTCTACTAGGACAGAGGGAACAGGGCACACTTTAGAGATCTCTTGGGGACAGGACTTGCATCTATTGAGAGCTGATATACTGACAAAGCCCAGGCAGAGGGAATGAATGGATGTTTGGTACCCAATTCAATAATATAGGTAATTTGTTCATGTGCAGCAATGGTGGATTCCAGACAGCTGCAAACGAGTGGGTGCAGAACAAACTGAAACCTGGGCTAGTGCAGAGCTGCTCTCCTGTGCACAACACCTACTGAAGGGTATGGGAACATGCTTTTGGATTTGGCTTCTGGGTCAGTGGATCTAGCATCCATCTGCCACTGTGTGATACTTGGGTGTTTCCTCCCCTCACAGAGCCCTCTGTCACCCTTGACAAAACAATGAAAATGTTTTTGCCAATTTTTTGGCTTCTTTGGGCAGTAAACAGCATAGATATGTTCTACAATTATTCACAATCTATTGCACCTATCTATACATTAGGTTCCAGTTTTAGTTGTACCACCACAAACTGCAATATAATTACTAACACTTCTGACAAAACAGATTTCTGGAGCCTTTATTTACATGAGTTCTGTAGCACCCAAAATTCTCTATGCCTGCTCTCTGACAGAGAACTGCATTTGGAAATCATGAGTGGGAGTTTAAAATAGGTTCAGCATGCAGCTCACACTGTTCCCATCTCTGACATCCATATGTGGTTTGGACAATCTGGAGTTTTCTTTGAAAGGCCTCACTTTATTTTGCAAAATAAAGTTCTACATTTGCTGCTATTAGGCTCTGCAAGTTGCAGAGCTTTAAGATGTCACTAACACAATAAACAATGATGTTTATAAACAGTCTGATGGCTAAAGAGACACACACAGGATCAAATATTTGCCACACAAGCAATCAAACAAATTGATAAACATGAAGAAAATGATTATAGAACTATATAATGTTCTATTATTAACCAGCAATCTGCATATCTTCCTCCAATTAATGCCTAGAAAGGAGATGCGAGTCAGTTGAAACTTAATTACTGGCATAACACTTTGTTGATTAGAAACGCAGTAACAGTCATTGCTTCCACTCCATTTATACAAGGCCCATAATAATAAGCCAAGGAACGTCAGTCACTGCTTTCCTGCCAGTAGTTTCTGCTGCAGCAATAGCTTCTGGTGTAAATGCACTCCTCCACCCATGTCACTCAGCTCGGTAATTGCCTTGCCACTCACATAAAGAAAACAATTTCCGTCTTTGATGGGATTTTGTCGGCTATGTGAAACTGCTCCTGCAATATCTGCAGAGAGGTGTTAGGTGGGTTACTTTGGTGGATCATAACATGAAACTAATCTTTAAGGAAGCAGGTGGAAAGCGAGAGAGGCTTATATACTGGTAGGTGCTAGGAAAATGGTGCTTTCCACATGATCAACAAAAAGGAAGTGTTCAATGAGGTAGAACTGAGACAAGAAGGCAGAAGGAAAGGGAAGAAAACTGCATTTCCATTTTCATATGAAGAATGTCTCTTAGCTCAGCCCATCTTTCAGAAGCTCTTATAAAACCATATATACTTATTGATATGGCATAGGTAGCTGACCAGCACTCTAATTTCAGCTTTCTTTATGTTTGCTCCTCCCCAGACACTGCACTCTTATCATCACCATTTCATCATTCCTAGCCTGAAGCTGCAGATGCAGTATGTGACATGCAGCATTCTTCTCACTTCACCACCTGATTCCTAGAATGAGGTCACCCAGTATTTGGCATTTCATTCTGCTTCTCACCCGAGGTGAGCCCACAGTCCAGCTTCAGGTTTCCCTGGGACACCTGAGGCCCTCCCCAAGCTCTTCATGGACTCACATGCCTCCGCATGACCCTGGCTCAACCTGGGAGGAGGACATGTGCAAGGACAACCTCTAGGATGGTAAGCAACAACTAACCTTGTCTGCTTGCTATCACAGTCAGAACTTGCAGCAACAGACAGCACTTTCTCCTCCCCTGCCCCTTGCCTCCCAGGTGGATTTATACTGAGGTTTTCATAGACAGGTATAAGAAACATTCAATTTATATCTCTCTCTTATGATGATTGAAAACTTTATCAGAAATACAATTTGTGAGTAGCAAGTTGAGGACAGAGTAAATGGAAAGACTTACAGAAAAGTGCATTTCAAGACTCCTTTTGGATGGAAAGCCGTATCAAGAATAGGATAAGGAGGCTTAAAATTAAAGGCAGAATGTAACTGTCCACAGTATCAGCCTCATCTCTAGTGTTATAATTCAAATTTTCCCTTGAAGGCATAAGGGACAGAATGAAACAGCCAAGCTATCCATTAATAGATACAGTAGCTTTGCTTTTACATTTGCAAAAGAGCCAGAGTGAAGTACTATGTACAATTTATTCAAATTATTATAATTTACACATTTTTCCACCAGAAAAATAAAGCACAACTTACTGAAGTCCCAGAAATTGAGGACACCAGAAATGACAGGGAATATGGGGACTGGTCAATAGACACACATATTCCAGCACGGGACTTGTTTAAATATCTGATAGGAAAAACGTAATGAGCAAACCCATCTATTTCAGTTGCTCCCAATGAAGTTTTAGGTTTATTTCAAATCTGCTGCTCTAATATTTGATATTGCTGTCCCAAGATCCTCTGGCAGGACTAGAATTAACTGTCTTCAGTAAGCTTTCTATTTCTGAGCACTCTCCTGAGGGAGATGAATCATGAAGATCTTAAATGCATCAGGCTCCTCACCCCTTCATAACATTGTCTATATCTTAACAGCAGCACAAACTTTTAGCAAGTAAAAATATATTAAGTTAATGGAAAAAAGCCCTTTCATTCTTAGCCCAAATGGTTCATACTTCAATCGCAGTATATTTCATCATAGCAATATTAAGATACTTCCACAACCACTCTTGTGGTTCAAGGAGGTAAAAAGGCCTATTTGCTTCTGGGGGACACCAAATCTAATCTTTTGATTAATTACAGCACTTTTTATGTATAGGAAAACCTGGATCCACACAAACCATGGATTTAAGGAAACTAAAGCTCATTGGTTCTCTCTCCACCCCAAAAGAGAGCATGGTAACAATCCTTACCTTCAGAAAAAGCATGACAGATGTTGATGCACATCTTCAGGAGCATCCAAAACCTCCAAAGCTGTCACAATTTATACCTTTGTGAATTATGGAATAGCACAAAAGTAATATTTAAGGATTAAGTAATTTATTTATTTCAAACAACACAGAATAAAGCTCTTAATAATATTCTTTCATGTTTTTATGTTTTTAACATTTGGGAAAAAATCCAAACAAATGAAACCAATTTTAAAGAAACAAAACCCCTCCTTGGAAGGTAGCCTGATTTTGTATTGATCACTTCTTGCTCTTCACATATGGTAAAATGTTATTTTTAATGTTGACTACACACTAAATAAAGAGAGAGAGACACACGTTATATCCAAAATAACCCAATGTTGGGCTTTCCTGTAAATGAGATCACCAGCAGTACCCCAGAGTGGATTTGTGCCCTTTTGGTGGTACTTTCTATTTCTTTAGCATAGCATTCCTTAAAACCAATAAATAAACATAAAATCTACAAGCTTAAAATACAGTCTAGGGAAAACCAATTCACAAAATACAAGGAGCTGTTGAGACAGAATTTAAAGTGTAATCACAAATTTAGGATGGGGCCCCATATATGCTCCTCTATTCAAAGTTTTCAATAAATCTCTTACATTCCTATTCCCATTCTCTCCCACTTTCTATTATTTTCCTCATATCTATTTTTCCTTGCAATCAAAAGCAACTTTCCTACTTTCTCATTTGAAAATTGAAAAAATAAATAAATTCTGTAGAATCACTATGTAGACAGATAAGAAACTACTGCATATTTCAAAGAGAAAGTTTCACGCTTAGTATACTGAAAAATGAAATCAAATGTACACACCACTTCTGGAAAAAAGCAGGAGACAGTTTCAAGCAAATTTTTCAAGCTGTAGGGATTTGTCCAGTACCTCTTTGCTCTAATGAGTTTGTAAAAAAAAGCAAAATCAAAAAATAAAACCACAAAATAACAACCACCATAGCTGATAAGTAGCATCAGCGTGATGTTCTGCAAGACCTTCTTTACAGCACTTTTGATTTCACTCTGCATATACTTGATTGTGCTTGTGCCTTTCAAGTGCACGAAACAGAGCAAGGTGTACTCAAGAAAATAACACATTTGGCACAAAATTACAAAACCCCCACCCAAACCCTTCTCATTTCTATTAGAAAAAGCAAACCATAGGGTCTGGCCAGGAAGAAAACAAGGCACTTACAGAAAATTGAAAGGAAAGAAACTCTTTCATCAGCATAGCAATAAATAGCAAAAATAAGCAGCAATAAATAAAAACAATGATTACTGCAGGGACTTCAGCCTGCACCTCACTAAGTATTTAACCTGTGCTCCTCTTGTGAGCTCAGTTAATCTCCTCCCCTTGGTGCTTTTTCCTATTCCTGAGGTCCCTATTTGTTAATCACTCGTCTCCAGAGCAGGTTGGCTATTTTAGCTCTGACAGCTATTAGTCTCCAGGCAACATGTGGCACCAGCTTTTACACGAGTGTCTGTATTTACTCATTTATCCTTTCACTTCTTTGAGGGGGAAGATTATAAAGTCAGCATGCTGCAGACATGAAGAGAAGACAGAACCTCAGATAATAGAAGAGAGTACATCTCTCACACTTAATTAATATCAAATTTATGAATATTCATGCAAGGAACACCTAGGTCAAGATGGAGAAGGGTGTTTTGGAGAGAAGAAACAAATGCAGCTGCTGATTAGCTTTGTAAAGGCACACATGAAAGGTGTGACTGATTGCAAGAAAAGGTGTTTCATGTGTCCCAAAAGCCATTCTTAAAGCAATGTAATACAAACCTTGGGATATCTCTGGCAGAACAAACCCTGAAATGACTAGTGTGTAGCAACATGGTCCCTTGTGTGGTCACCATAAAAGTGTCACGAAGCCAAAGGACATAAATATTGTGCAAGTAGACTCATGGGATTAATAAAACATCACATAAAGGCTTCTAAATGCAGTTCAGCTCACCTTCTAAAGAGAACAGGAAAAGCTCAGCCCTTCAGCAGCCTTCTTCAAAAATCCAAGCTGTCATGCTTCATGTTAAAGATATCTCATCAGCTTATGTGAACATGCAACGCCCACGCCAAGGCTGCAGGGGAGCAGGGGACCCTAAGTGAGCAAAGAAACAAAGACCCTTCAAGCTTTGTTTGCATTCAATAGCAACAAGAAAGCCCTTGTATATTAAAGTTAATGGAAACACCAGGATGACAACCTACTGAGAAATCCAACCCCATGGAGGGGGAATTTGGCTGAATTGGCCCCTTGACTTTGATAACTGAGAGGAAAAACCCTAAGTGACAGCTAGAACAAGAGGTTGTTGTTAGAATCACTGTAGGTTTCCTAAATGTTTGGGGAGTTTTTGCTGTGCCTGTAAGTGCTTCCAAGGTTGTAATCAAGAGCTCAATTATTTGTTGCTACACAATCAATTTGCTTTCTTGTGTTTACATTCTTGCTTGAACTTGCCTGATGTTGTGTGACACTGGGGTAGCTTTGGCAAGCTGAGGTGTGTAATTTCTCCAGAGGACAATAAAAGAAATAAAAGAAGATCTCACAAAGAATCTGCAGAATGCTCCATCAAGAAAACTGAGTACTCTGAAGACTGGTGTTATAAAGATACTGGACACAGGAAAAAAAAAAAAAGTATATTTTGACAGATACTTTTCAGTGACCTCCAAGTAGGGGAAGAGATGGTTTATGACATGAGGGGATCTCACAGTGTCTCATTTTGATGTAAGCAGAACCCAGGACCAGCAATCTGTAAGCTTAGAAGAAAACACAACTTTCATTCAGCAACCTGAATTTCAGAGAATATTTACGTATTTTCTATCTCTTCAGGCTGCATTGGCAGTACTCTGTGTGTTAGTTTTAAGAGCTGCCTGATTATTAGCAGCTGTACCTGATTATATGCCAATTAATACAAGAGCTCCCACAGTGTTAATATGAAGGGTTTCCTTTCCTCTGCTGCTCATTTTTATCTATGATTTCAAGAAAAATCTACTGATCACCCCATGCTAATACAGTCATTTATTATGGTTATTAGGCTGTTACAAATCCCAGGGAACTTGGATAGATCACTACTTTAGATAGTGGATTTATAAGAAACATTTGGCAAATCATTTTGAGGAACAAAATCTCCTGTCTCTAAACCTCACACGCCCAGAAGCACCAGCTACTTGTGTCTGCTTCTCCAGTGTGCTATGCAAAATGCCCCCAGTCTCTCTGGGGACACCCCTTCCTGGTGGACACTAATAACCACAGAGGTGCATGACTCTACTGACTGGGAACCAATTCCAGAGACAGATGGATCAGCCACAGGGAGGGAAGTCCTGGAGCTGCCTCCAGGTCACACGAGGTGACCAAATACTGCAGGGCAGGACACCCTGTTTCCAAAACCAGGCAGCCACCCTGGCCACCTCTGAGATGCGTTTTCAGGGGACGCCTTCTGCACACCCCAGCAGGTCCCTGCTCCTGCCTGCACTTGGAGCAAAACAAAACCAAACCCTTTGGCTGAGATTTTTCAAAAGCTCCTTAAAAAGGTTTGTGACTGGGAGGTGGCTTAGGTCAGTCTGCTGCTTCTGGAAACTTTTCTTGTTTGAGTGTATTTTGTGTAAAACATCAGTGTATAAATATTCTGAGAATTAATGCTTTCTGCCTCATGGTGACTGCATAATACAAAGAGAAATATCACCTAGAAATTACAGCTGGTTTACAACTGCAAACTATTTCTTTTCATCCAGCTGGCTTGTGATATGAGCTGCTCTGTATTTAAAGGCAGAGCTTTCTCCCTTGCTTGTCTCAGTTTGGGTGACTTTTATGGTGTTTCTTTGAAAAGCTCTTCTACCAGGGCAGTGATTTGCAGTTCACATAAGCCACCAGGCTCCTGCATTATGACCTTATAGATAATACAATTTAAAATGCTGATTACAGAATGGTTCTTTGAAATAGGATGGAAACTTTTGCTGGTCTGTGAGCTGTTTTGCTTCTCTTGAAGCATATATGAGTTTATTTTGTCATCTCCTAAAGATAGCCATATCCTCTACAGCACACAGACAGACTATGTATTTTCTGTTAATCCTATGGTTATTAATCTCTCTTGTGGTAGCAGCCATAGCTCAGAACCCAACCAGAGAAAACCAAGATTTGAACTTAATACATTCATACAAGGTATTTGTTTTTTACAGGTGACACACCCATGGATGGCTGTTTCCAAATGTGGCATTATTCAATGAAGTACAAAAACCAGCCAGACTAAACTATTCAAAAATAATAACCTTTTTGCAATATGCACTATCTCTACAAGTGAATATATTAGTGTTATTATTAATAGCCTCACATTAATGCAAAGCTGTGCTGTCACCTGCCACAGAACAGCAGCTGTGTATGACTCCATTGGTTATTACATTACAAGGATGCCTGGAGCCTTATGCTGACATTAAGTGAAGTAAGCATGGAATTTAATGCATATAACTAAGTAAAGAAAAATTTTAAATCATACCTGTAATTTAATATATGCATGTTCTTCACTGTGGCAATTACCCACAAGTCCACAAAGAACAGGCTGGGCTTGAGGCTATCAGACAATTTATTCATGATTACTCTTACGGATGATAGCACTTCATGGTTCCCAAAACAAGCTTGTTCATTACATTGCTTTCTGCTAACTGTATTCCTGCAAGATGCCCCTTTTAAGTATTCCTGGGGAGGTCTTTGAACCATGAAAAATACCAGGGAACTGACACAAGAGTGATTTAAGCATCATAGATAAAGTAAATATGCAAAAAGTGCATTTTGTTCTGATGCTGTCTGCAGTCCTTTAATCAAGGAAAACATTTGCTCAGCCAGGAATGAATGAAAGGGAATTGAAGGGGAAAAAAAAAAAAACTGTTCAGAATTATTAACCTGATTTTCCAGTTCAATTTTACCACAAAATAAAAAAAAAAAATAAATCATCACCTCATATAATTCTCTGGACTCACTTATTCTCACCTAGGTAGGTTTGCAGAAGTTATGCTACCAGAAATTTATGCCTGTTACATTATCTGAATCTGTAGCCTTCCAGAAGTTTGTTCCAGATTTCTGAATAGACTGTGCACCCTGGTGTGCTGAGGTCATCCAAATGCTCCAGTTGGATCATCCTCAGCAATTAGCAAATAAATCCTTTGTCTGCATAGGCCAAGTCCCTGTTTCAGGTCACCATGTTTCTGACACATGAGATGTCTGAAATGTTGAGCTCAAGTTTACAAATTTAAAATTCCAATGGCCCTTTTTTGTTTATGTCTCAAAAACATAAGCAGTAAGGCATTTGGGCCCTTACTCTGTCATTCTCAGGTAAGTTCTGTGTTTCTTCAGGTCAAGCCAGCTGCTTTCCAGGGACCATGCCAGCAGTTGGTCTTACTTTTATTGTTCAGTGTGCCAAGGAGACAAGGGAATGGGTCATGAACATCATCAGAAACACCACATTTGTTTAAACATATTTGTCACCTGTCTCATTGCCATTGGCTTTGCAATGGCAAATTGCAGTAGTGTAGAACTACTATGCAGTAGTGTAGAACTTATAAAACTGTTATTAAATATTGGCCCATTTTATTTGCCTAGTTATCAGCTTGGTTAATTTTATTCTAAAATAATCAAGAATGTATTTATCTGGCAAAACATTTTCTCATTTTTATCCAGCCAGCGTAAGACCAATGTTGAAAAGTTTTTCTTCATTACAGCTCTAAATTATAGTTTGTTTATTCAGAAAAAAAACACACAGAAAAGTATGGTCTTATCTAGTAAGTGAGATTCTAAGAGATTGTGCTTTATGAAATTGTAGTTGGAAGTTGTAATGTCTAAGGATTATTCCACTGAAATACACTTATGCTGGAAAAGAAGTTCTTGGAATGAAGAGCTCTGCTCTTTCAAAAATGTTTGGATTTCATTTAGGAAGTGAGATCAAAATATTTTGCCTCAGGATAAGTAAACTGGTATTGCAATATTTGGTTTGTGAGACAGAGTCAAAATATTAGCATCGTTACGGCGATAACATGCAACTCTCTGACAAAACCCCTCAGCCTGCAGAGGAATTTCCCACAGGTCATTGCAAGGATTCAGTAACATAAGCCAGGATAAAATGCTTCAGTATGGCTCTGCAAACAGAAATTAATTTTTATGTGAAAAAGTTTAAACTACTTCACTTCAGCTTAAAGTCCTGAAAGGTTGTATTTGGACACTCCCATTTGAAGAGTTTCTTTGAACTTTGGCTCCAGATTTAACTTTTGTTCTGTTTTATGTGGATTTATTGTCAATATTATTATTTATTTTATAATCTTCCATGGTCAAATAAATACTACATTTTTAGGATTTCTAGTATCTGATTATGTTTATCATAATTCAATAAACTAAACTACCTTAAAGTAAGCTAATTTGTCTGTTCCAAATACATATTGACATGGCTTTAACAAGGCATAAAGGATGAAGGGTAATGTTTTGTTGTTAGAGGGGGAAAAAAAAAAAGTCTGCCTATTGTTTTACCTGGCAAGAGTCTTCCAGCTTCTAAATAACACTGTATTCTGCAAAAACTTCATAGCCTAGTATTTATTTCCATTTCTTGAAAGATACGTGACCAGAAAGATGAACGTGTTGCTCTCCCTGCTGTGTCCTCACTGAGGTGAGAGGGGTTGTGCCTTCAGTGCTTTGAACTTCCTTTTTGGCAGATAACACACCCTGCTAATAAAAATAACATGTTCAAAGGCATGGTTAAGGCCTGTGCTTAGGTTGTGTGAGAAGTTTTTATTGAGCACCTCAGAGCTAGGAACACCCAGGGAAAGCGGGGAGAGGGAATAACACCGGTCACTCCAAACTGCCACACCAAATACCTCAATAAAGCTGGTGCCATCACCTGGGATTCTTATTATTGAACTCTAGAAAAAGCCACAGCACAGAAAAATTGAAAAACCTGCTGCTTTAGCATGTGACTACACGACCCAAAAGGGAAGTGGAGGCTCTGGACAGAGAGAGGCACTGTGAGGTGCCATGAGGGGAGATGGTGGCCATTGTCTGGAGGCCTTCCAGGCCATGGTGGCTCCCCCATCCCTCCCTCTGCTGTTCTGCTTCATTCCCACTGCCAGCTCCGACAGCCATGGGGCAGTGCCAGGAGGAAAGATACCTCATACACGGGATTTACCTCATACATACCCCAAACAGGAGGCAAAACCCTCCTGCCAGGCTGGGATGGGGCAGCCGTGCTGAGGAGAGGCTGCCGTCACTTCAGGCTGAGGTGGGAATGCCACGGCTGCAAAAGAGAATGAGGACTTTTACTTGTCTGACCTGAAGGTGCAGTGCAGCCATGCCCTGAAGAAATGGCTTTATAAACACCCTCTCAGATCAGGGCCTTTGAAATTTAGGCAATCACAAGGAAAAATTGGAACAGAAACAGCTGCTGAGGCCCAGCATCCCAGAATTCTTGTCCTTCCGTGGATGTCTTATCCAGTCCAAGAGTACCACAGAGTACTGTGCTGGGCCTTGCCCTTTCCCTGCAAAGGGAAATCTATGGGATTTAATCCAAAAAAGACAACGTTTTGGTTTTAAGGGAGGCCAGTTGGTTTCATTTCAATGCTTTTCTGTATGTTCTTCATCAGAATGAAAGCTACCATTATTTATTTTATCTCATTCCACTCTGATTAATTTCCCAAGCTACATGCATTGAAATGCAGAATAAAAATATGGCAAATTATAACTGATAGCAACAATCAATAAAGCAGGGGCAGATACATTTCCACAGATTTCTTCTATAAAATTTGGGTTTTTTCTTGTTGTTGTTTTTTTCTTTTTCTTGTAAACTTTAATTTTAAACACCAATTCAACGTTTCATTTACATGCTTCTCAATACATCTTTTCCTATTACTCTACTAATAAGCTTTGCCACTCTGGTTTTGTCCCCCACATCCACCCAGCATGATCAATGCTCCAAAAGGATTTTTACCTGTCTCACACCAGTATTGCTAGTACCAGCAACAGCCTCATCATTTACCCTGCACTGAAAGATGGGAAAAGTTCAGCCCCGGGTAAGTTTTCTGGCTCCTCACTAGTTATTAAACTAGTGCCACTAACACAATAAAATTTTATATCATTTTTATTGCATCCCTCCTAGAGAATCATAGGCAGAGCCGTGGCTTGCAGAGCAGATGTGTGAAGCTGCAAACAGAACCGCATCTGTTTCCTTTTGCCACAAATTGTTTTGTATAGATCCCTGTTGACTAGGAAATTTAACATACTGTCGCTGTACATCAAATTTGTAATAAAATCATTGTAAAACAAACACAATCCCTTCTACTCCTCTCCCCCTTTTCTTTTTCTAATAACAAACTGTCTTTATTTTCTCTCCATCTCCTTCCTTCTCACTCCCCAAAATAGATTTTAATTTTGGCTCCAGTTTTACTTGGACCTGGGCCAAGTCCAGAAGTTTGATGTCAGCTTTTACAGCAGTCCTGAGAGTACTGGGAAGGTGGGGAAATGTCAGTAAGAATCTGCTGCTTCCCACTAAATCAAAATATATTTGTCACTGTATTTCTTGTTGGGGCCTTTTTTTTCTTTTTTTTTCCCCACCCAAACACTGCTTTCTATGAGCAGAAGAGAATTAAGTCACCATCCAGATCCAGATATGGAATTGAAAAGAAAATCAGTCTCTGAGCTGCAGAAAGTTGCCTGCAGCATTTAATCTCCAGGCTGGGGTGATGCCCTGTTTTTGCAGCAGCTGCAAGTGCTTTGCAACCTCATCCTTCCCTGGGTCACTGCAGCTACTCCAGTTTTTGGGCTGTGGAATAAACCAGCTCCTGGCTGCTGATAAACACAGAGAGCGGAGGCCTCTGAGAGAGCGTTGCCATTTGCAAACAAAAACAACCAATTTTTTCTGTATTCATACAAGAGGGAGAGTGGTATGTTAACGTAACACAAATCCTCCAAGGTAACACATATCTTTGGGAAATACATGTTTTCTGAAGGATGGGGCCACGCCAGCTGCAGCTACTCTGCCTCCTGGGGTATGGTTGCTCAGCAGGGTCTGTGTCTCAGAAAGCTGGAAAGCCAGACTGCCTGTGCCATCTCACAAGGACAAGAAGCAAAACCATACAGGACTGCTCGGGGCTGTGGCTGGACATCACTCCCCAAACCAGCCATTACTGCTCGGGGCTGTGGCTGGACATCACTCCCCAAACCAGCCATTCTCAGAGAGAGGAACTGCCATACCAAATATCTGGGTACAGTGCCAAGCTGGGAACACAGCTGACACAGACAATAATGAGGGGAAGCTGATGGGATTATGACTGAAAATCACAACAGTAATAAAAATGACAGAAGGAGTCACAAGCCCTTTAAGGGGTTCTGCCTTATTTGCATTTTCTTATGTTGCTTGGAAAACTTAATGAAGTTTATCTTCTGTCATTAAGATAAACCAGCTCTGTGGTGGTGCTGTCAGAGCTTCACTAATTAAAAATCAGCCTCCAAGTGCTTAAAGCTTGTCTACACTTGAAAATTAATTCAGTTTGAGGTAGCGTATACATATAATTTGCAGCAGCTATATCACCTAAATTAGGATATCTATTTTGTAGGCAGGGTTCCTCTGAACTTGCCTCAAATTGAAACTGAGCAGTTTCTTCTTTGCCTTATCCTGAACCAAGAGATCTGTGTATAAGGAAGGATTCAGAAATATCTCTTGCTAAGTATCCTCATGCACCAAGGATGGCTGATCCACAGCACTTTCCTTTGGGAATGCTTCTCCTTGCCTTGTGCCCCATCAGCTGAGGTAAGGCTGCAAGCAACAGATGATGGATGGCTGCAAACAGTGTGCTAAATTGATACAGTTATCAAATTTGTATGGACCTGTAGTGCTTATGCAAGGCTGCTATTACAGCACAAAGCCTAAAGAAGAGAACTTAAACCTGGACTGAAACCTTTCTAAAAAACAAAAAATATTTTCTTAGTGGTTTTATAAGCAAGGAAGTTTGGAATAGAGAAAAAAATACTGTGGACATTTGGGATCACTTTTCTTTATGTGCATTGTATGAATACAGTTATCAGCCAATTAAAGAAATTAATAGAAAATGAACACTAGGTAATATAAAAAGAATTCTGTTAACATCAAGGTTATTTTTCCAATTAAATTCCAAGAGCCTACAACATCAAAGATGTTTGGAAATTTCAGAGTACTGAAGAGCACAAAGCAAAGTTCTTAGTCCTCCTTCTTTTGAAATCCTGCTCTCTCAGATACATGTTCAAGACTGAAAGTTTTTCTAGTGCTTGCTAGTGGAATAGATCCAAGACAAGGACAAGAGAGGACATGGAGCATTGCAGCATCCACAGCTTGACTCTCATCATCTAACCTGGATGATGCACAGAGACTAGAAAGATGCTGTTTGAAAGGAAAGGCTGTGCCCCCTCAAAGGAACGTACCTGGGGAGAAATAAATGCTGTTTCAGATGTTCTTTTTCAGATCTCTTTGTAGAGCTCACAGGGCATAACGTACCTCCAGGCTGGTCTTTAGGCATTTGGAAAATCCAGACAGGAAAACAAGTCAAAATGGGAGTTTTATTCAGGATCTTAAATGAAGAATCATTCATCACCTTTGGGAGGAAAATTATCACAGTGCTTCCGTCACCCATTTTAAGCAGAGATTTTGGAGAACGTTGAAGGAAAATGGTAGATGGAGAGCCAAGTCTAGCAAAAATCTGTTTGTTATGTGAAAAGAAACAATTTGGCAGTCCTAGCAAGGGTGTCTGACCCTTCAGCCTCACCTGTCTGACCAGGTGAAAATAACATAATTTTCCCTCTTCTACATGGAAGGGAAAGGAAAGGACTTTCCTTGTTGTTAAATACAAAACTCTTTAATCATCATCTACTCTTTACAAGATTTTACAAGATTTGGTGCCATCTATATTTGGTGGGAGTCCTCCAGCATTTTTTGTTAGATGTCTGCAATGGGTTCCCCCTGAGCAACTGACAGATGATTCCAACAATTTCACCTTCCTATGACAAAAATGGGAACCTCTGCTCCAGCAGGCCACTGGTAAAACAAGAGCTGCCCTCCACTCAGTTATTATTTTCTCCCAAATAATAAGAAACAGCCTCAAGTTGTTCCAAAGGATGTTAGGAAAAAATTACTTCATTGAAAGGATTGTCAAGTAGTGGAAGAGGCTGCTCAGGGAAGAGGCTATCACCATCTTGCAGGTATTTAAGAGACATGTAGATGTGGCAGTGACATGTTGGTAAGTTTGGCAGTGCTGGGTTTATGATTGGACATAACGATCTTAGAGGTATTTTCTAACCTAAATGATTCTGTAATTATGGTGTAATATTCTCAAAGAGAGATATTGAATGCTAATAAACAAAGTCCTAAGCAAGACAACTTCCATATATCCCATTATTTTATTTTTTTCTGTCCCTCCCTTCATTTTCTTATGTTTTTCTCATCTAACATGTTTATTACCCTGGCTGGTCTGGGATGGACAGAGCCTGAGGTCACTGTGGCACTGGCACTGCAGGACTGCTGGGCCTCTGATGAGTTGCTGGACCCCCAGGAAAGGATATCATCATTCTGTGAAGCTAAGAAATCTCAAGTGATGGTTGTCCCTCCTCAAAATACAGCCACAAAAGTTTCCTGTGTTGTGAAATTAACTGGGGGGAGGAACACCAAATTCTGGTCTCCAGAGGCAAATATCCAGGGGGACTCCTGCACTTGCCAGTACACGTGTGTGGATGTGTACGTGCATACATATGTGAATACTCAGAACAGGACCACGCATTGCTTTCCAACAGAACCTGAAGGATAATAGAGGATGCAATTGGCAGTGGTCACCCAGCTGGGATGAGGTATTCCTCCTGCTGGTATCCAACCGCTTGCTTGAAAATGAAACGCTTGGCAGTAGAAATGTGCCACAGCTGGAAAGCATGAACGAGTCAAAGCAAATAAACAATCCCAAAATTAGGTTTAAACCAGAGAATGAAAATCAAACGTCATTTGAAAGTGTACTAAAATTGGCTGTGTCTGAGAGAGCATTTAGTGGCTCAGCACTTCTCTGCTGCACTTCAGAAATTGAAGAGAAAAACAGAGAAACAGTCTTAGATGAAGCAATAAATAATGGACACTTTCAACACATAATTTGCATTTGAATTAACTAGGCTGGCTAAATTAATTCATCCATTATGAAAGGAGAATTTTACTGTCTATATTTTCAGGCTCCCTAGTGTGCTAAGTTAAATGGGCATTGAGGCAGGGACTACTGGCTCCCTAGAAATTGCCACAAAATTACTTTCCTCCCAATTATTATCTAGTTCACACAGTTTGGAAGCCTAATTCTGGTAAAAACAATTGTCCCAGGGCCTTGTCTTTACACCACTGTTTGGATTGTGAGAGTGAACATCCACAGCAGCATTTTGGAGTGATCCAGACCTCACTCAGGTTTTTGTCTGACACATTTTTCAGGC